AAAGAGTAGACTTTTAGGGATTCGTGGGATCAGGACAATGAAGGGTAAGTGGGGAACCTGTCCCTGGAAATGAAGGGCAATTTCTCCTACCATCCCGGCCCTACAAGAATCACCTGGCCAAAAAGGGTACTGGGTTGGATTCCCCCACAGGGACTGGGAAGCGGGCCCGGGAGGCCGGCGAAGCGACAAGGAAGTCGTGGCTGACAGGTTTGTGTTCTCCAGCAGGACCTGAGGCAAGAGATGGGAAAGAGCCCCAGAGAGGCTGAGCTCGCCTCTGACCACCGCCCCCAACTCTGCCTCGTGTCCCCTGAGAGCTTACCTCCCTGTAGCCTAGTATCTGGCCGGTGGTTGGGTGTCTTTGGGCCTGTAGGTCGGATGGGACTGGAGCCCCCTGGGCAGCCAGGAGAGACCAAGGGTCTGTCTTCCTCTGCCATTTTCTGGAAAGGAGAAGCAATTTCCAGGTCTTCTTTCTCCCCCACCCCAGCTTCCTGCAGGAGACCATGTCTCTAGTCCACGTCCCTGTGGACTCCTCACCGGGCTGCGTGCTCCACACCATGGAGAGGTAGCCAGGCCGGGGACGACAGAAACAACTGCTCTGCTTCCTGCTGCAGATCTGGGGCACAGGGAGGGAGGCCGTGCGGAAGCTGGAGCGAGGGCAAGAGAAGAATGAGGTGAGGAGAGACGGTAAAATGCAGACGGGAGGTGGCAGGGTCCTTGTTCAGTTCAGCAAGGGTAGACATCCCAGACGAGGACAATCAGGCTGAAGCCATATTCTCCAAAGGCTCTTCCCAGCACTACTGGTTAATAGTGCAGACTGTGGACTTCAGAAACCAGCGAGACCAAACCTGAGGACTTCCCGTCTTTGAAAAGCTCCCCTGCTGATGACAGGGCATGCTAACCTTTGGGGTCCCGCTCTAAGGCTCTAAGGCTGAAGATTCAGGGGCTCAAAGGCTAGCGGCTGAGCCACCACCACGTGCCCTGGTGCCGGGAGACAGAAAGAGGTGCTCCAAGAAGAGAAGATGCATTAGAAGGAGCAGCTGTCCCTGCTGTCCTCACTCATGCTCTGGCTGGCCCACCACAGGTCCCCTGGGCTGGGCTCTGTCCAGCACCAGGCAGGGCAGGGCTGACAGACTCCCAGGCCCAGGAGAGCAAGGTCATGCAAGATGCCACTGCGAGGAGGTTTTAGGCTCAATGCGGGTCCAGTTAGGACCAAAAGTCACTCACCGTGCTCTCTGGAGCTCCGGGCTCGGTCAACAGTTCCCAGCGTCCTGTGCATCCCAGTTCCAGGGCCCGCAGGGGCAGGTTCAGGGGATCTGGGGGAGGCAGCACTACAGGGGAGAGGTCAGAGGTCAGAGGTCAAGGATCACCTCTCCCTACTACTCCGTTCCACCCCACCCCCTCTCACCGAGTCGCTCGGTCTCGATCATCCTGGAGCCACCGCAGCTGCCAGGCAGCCCGGAAGCTCAGCGACTAGACTTGGAGTAAGCCCCGCCCCCGAACGGGCGGAAGTGAGGGCAACTTCCGGCATTCACGCCAGCTCCCGGAGTGTGGGCGAGCGCGGCAGCACGGCCGGCCTGAAAAAGTGGAAGGGGCGGCGGGACGGCCCCGGCGCCGAGCACCCGGCG